TCTGAACCCTAAAACAAAATCTAATAATTTACACCTAACTACACTACAACTAAAGGTATTATATATCTACTTCAACAACAACCAGATTGAACAATAAAATTCCTAGGTGTCCAAATATTTTCAGGCAGGCAGGATTGGATTAGTCAGGTTCTAATTGAAATAGTTTTTATTCTGGAGGTTCAGTTTAATCATTCAGTTCTGAAGGCATCAGATGAGGTGGTTAAGACAATGTGTGCCTTCATTTTGGGTTTTCCGGATACATAGCACTAAAGGGAGAACTTGGGGTAGACCCAGATCTTTCTGGAGAGACTAAATCCCGTCTGGCTTGAGAACACCTTTGGATCCTTCAGAATGAGCTGAAATATGTTTGGGTTTTCCTCCTGAACCGGTTTCCTGTGTGGCACAACCCTAAAGTAAGCGCTAGGCAACAGCTCTATGAACTCTCAAGATTCAAGCCCCAAACATATTTGGTAAAAACGTTTGTATTAACATGAATGATACTTATTGAATTCTCAGGAGTGGATATGATTAATTTGTAAATCCAAGAGAGAAACGGAAATAGGATGAAAATGTAGGATTTCAGGTTTGACGAGTGACATCAGCTTTAATTTCCTTTAAAGTCCAAGCCAGGTTTCTGTATCGGTGCTTGTCCAAATGTTGCAGTAGCTTTGTTACGTCAGCCTTAATCAGATGCTGGCAAATTAAAAATGCTACACGACAAAGCCAGAAGGCCTGGAGTTAAAAACAAGAGGAGCCTGACTGATGACTGAGACAGAGACGCCATTCTTAAAATATTATCAGAAATATGGCTGCCACTTAATCAGGACACAGTGTTCCAGGCCAATTGCTTGTAAATGCAATAAATTTGAAGAGTCCACAGAAACTACAAAACACGCAAAAAAAAAAAAAAAGTCTCCAAACTCCAAACCCCATTAAAAAGACATTAGTCGTCTTTCATAGATTCGGGCAAAGACAACTTCACAGGATAATTACCCTGTAATCATGTAATAAGAGAGAGACTCAGTGATGAGATCTCCTGACAGCTATCATCCACACAATGGCTCAGAGACAGTGAGATAAAAACAGATGGGGCTAGGAAAAAGGAGGGAAGTGGGACGGTAGGTATGTATAAATAAGGGAAGAAGTGTGTGTGTGGGGGGTAGAAAGAGGATAATTGGAATATACATAAATACTATGGGATAAAAGGGAGGAGAGTGATAAAACAAAGAATAAAAGACAGAGATAAGGTTAAAGACAGGAGGGAAGTTAATAAAAGAGTGCAGTTTAAACTAGGCCATGGCCTGGCAGACAGAAAGAGAGAACACAGAAGAAGACTGGAGGAGAAAAAAGATAAACAGAAGAAAGGGAAAGAGGCTACAGACTTTTTCAATAGACACTGAAAAAGAAGCAAGGAGGAAAACCTGAAATATACGAAGCAGAACTAGAAACATAAGAGGAGAAAGAAGGAAATTTAAAATAGTAATAAAGGATGAAGAAGTTTTTCAAATGTGGCCTGATAAGTTAGAAGATAAAACCTCCTGCCAGGAAAAAATGGTATTTCAGCACCTAATTAGTGTTGGGCAAGCTGTTATTTGTCCCACGTGTCAATAAATGCTGGACATATTTCATGCTCTTGCAGGCTTGATCAGCTTCTCATCGCTTAGTTTATGGCAGAGTATCCAGAGTCTAGTTTGAAACAGTGCACTGTGCAATGAGACTGAACTAATCCTATGTTATTATAAATCTCATGCATTTACATTGCTGCTTATTTCCTGCTGCAACTAATGAGATTTTCCTAAACAGCTAAACTAAGAGTACAAGTGCTGCTGACTAAAGAAACGATAAGCCGATAAAAGTAAGGTACAGAACAGACTCTGCTTTCTGAGGTATACGAGGTCTGAAAATATTTGCCTCAAAGGGTTGCATTTCATCTGTAGATTGGTGGTTAACAAAAATATTATATTCTGTGTTAGGGCTCAGTGACACAAGAGAAAACGGACCAATAGAGGCCAATCGATGGCTGAATCTGATTTCTCGAAATCAGGGTGACGAAAGGACAATTTTCCACACCAGCTTGTTTTTGCTCAAATGAGACAAAACAGGACTTGACTCTGTTAAATTAATAGTGCATTTATGTGTTAGTAGACTAAAATGGGCTGGCAGTAACACCAGCTTCTTTCTCCTGCTGCTGCTCTATAGATGTAGTGGTGGGGATATTTTAGGTGATACAAATAAACAGTGGTTAGAGATTGCATGTGCTTCGTCCATAGTGTTGAAAAGAGATACTTACCACAGTCAACAGGACAGTGGACTCAGTTGAGCAAATGACCAATTCTTTAACATTGCCCTAATTTTTTGACCAGCCAAAATATTGACCTACCTCTAATGATGATCAGTCTACCTTCAGTTGAAGATATTTTGAACTATGTTGCAAGAAGTGATTTGGTTTTCTGTGCTAAGACGACAAAATTTCTTGAAAATAAAATTTACAAGTTGCTGTTTTTTTCCCTCACTTTTAAAAAATGCAATCTGATTTTTTTTTGTGTGGTTTTATGAAAGTGTCTAAAATGCCAGTTTAAATCTACCATAACAGATAAAACTTTTAAGCTGCGGCCTGGTAACCGGCGCGTTGTTAGTCCTGGGGTTCTGTGGCCTAAGCCCCGGACGTTTTGTCAATGGCCTCAGATCAAAATGAGACTATTAAAAGTCAGAGGCAAACTGAATTTATCCTCGGTTGATAATTGTGTTAAATATGCATAAATGTGCATATTACCAACCCCTGCAGATTTGTTTATTTATATTATTTTTGTGTGCTTAATTTCATAGATTTATTTTCTAGATTTGGGCGCACACAAATCTGCTTTCCATCAGAGCAGCGTACACCCCTGGCATCCTGAACAGAACTCGACAGGGGAACTGGAGCCTCGATCCCGACCTGATCTCTCAGACCTGGAGCAGATTTGGCAGTGCAGCAGTGGATCTGTTCACTACATGGGAGAACGCACAGTGCCAGATGGGGTTCTCAATGAGCCCACGGGAGGATCCACCAATGCTCACAGTCTGTGGCCGAAGATGCTCGTTTGCGTTTTTCCTCCAGTTCCGCTGATCCCATGGCTCCAGGATCGGTTCAGAAGGAACAGCTGTGATAGATTCTCAAAGCCCAAAGCGCACAGGCGCACCATGGTTCCCCAACATGCAGCAGCTTGTATCAGGCCGCCCGTGACAGCTGCTGTGGAGGGAGGATGCATTCCTCCAGGAGTGAGGGGTGATCAGGAGTTACCCAGAGACAAATGAGTGTCTCTGGGACTGTCTGCTGAACGAGAGTACTTGGAGAGGGTTGGTGATAACTGGCTTCTTCTAATCTCTTCCTAACTCTGAGGGGGAAGCAACATCTAATTTCTTGTGCCGCACTCTCTCACATCATATGCCGTGCACGCCTGCACCACACTCATCAAGGTGACATTTATTTTTTAGCCCAGGTTTGTGACCTGTGTTATTCTTTGTCACTACGGATGAATTTTACACCTGATCCAGCTGCTGGTTTGTTTCCTTTCATTTCTATGGTGCTCCTGAGGAGTTGTTAAACTGCTCTTTTCATCAGTACACCTTTACAGTTGGTAACTTTTGTTGTCACTGTTCACAGCAGCAGGTGTATCATCTCAGCCCTTTGCCCTGCCCAGGGATTATTTCTCCTCTGTTGTTCAGCTGCGCTGGGCGCCTCCGACTGCGAAGGCTGAGTTTTAAGTTTATGGTTGTAGTCCGGACGGACCCAGTGAGGCATAGACTACATCCTGCTTCGCCTTTAAAGGTCAGTACTAGACAGAAGGTTGGTTCCGTACTGTAACACCAAATTGTATGAGTATAGGCGCAGACCTTGAAGCTCTGGGCCTCACTGGTTCCCAACGGATGAAAGTGAAAACTCTATGTGGGAGGTGATTGTCCAGTCTCAGCATAATTTATATATATATATATATATATATATATATTATAGATATATATATATTATATATATATATATATATATATATATATATATATATATATATATATATATATATTGTATATAACACCCCACACTCCCATGCTGCATCACTATCACATGCCCAAACATGTACACAAATGGTGATAAGATGAAAATAATCTTTGGTTGTTAATATCAGCTCAGTTTTACTTATCGGACCGATACGTTAAAGAATTACTAACGTCGACCCCTACTGATGTTAATGCCGATATATCATACATCCTTAACGCAATTCAAGGACTTTATGCAAAACTAAGGTATTAAATTGTAAACTGAAGGTTTTTGAGATTTTTTTATATGAGACAAGAAAAGTTTTAAAGTCCACCACAGGCGCACCTACATTTTAAAGATGTGTGATTGAATAAAACCTTTACTGCAATTGAGCACTGTTATAATAGCACCAGTAGGAGTTGAGGGTTTTGTAACCTCCCTTCAAATCCTCCATCAACCTTGTTTGTGAATGTTCTACTTGTTTTAAACACTAAAGTTATTGTTCTGTTTGTATATATAGGCAATTTTAGGTGAGTAGCTATTGTCTTAAAGCCATTTCCAGACTCATGAAAATCAACTTACATCTGCTTTGATGGAATGCAGTGTTCTCCTGTCTTTCCAATTTTGAAGATTGGCTAATAAAATATGGCTCTGTGTCCCATCATTGACATGCCTAGACACTTTGCTCAACATACAAAAGAAAGCTATAAATAAAAAAATCTGTAATTATTTATTCATTCATATTCTATACCGCTTATTATAGTGGGTCACGGGGAAGCGGCACTCCAGCAGTCTATGGGCGAGAGGCAGGATACACCCTGGACAGGTCGCCAATCCATCGCAGGGCAACACAGAGACATACAGGACAAACAACCATGCACACACTCATTCATACCTAAGGGCAATTTAGAGAGACCAATCGACCTAACAGTCATGTTTTTGGACTGTGGGAGGAAGCTGGAGTACCCACGCATGCCCGGGGAGAAAGAGCCCCGGCTGGGAGTCGAACCCAGGACCTTCTTGCTGCAAAGCAACATGTGCTACCCACTGCGCCATCATGCAGCCCATTTTATACCGATTATACTTTTCGTACTCGTACTCGTCGTCTTCCACTTCATCCGGAACCGGGTCGCAGGGGCAGCAGACTAAGTAGAGACACCCAGATGTCCCTCTCCCCAGACACCTCCTCCAGCTCCTCTGGGGGGATCCCAAGGCATTCCCAGGCCAGCCAAGAGACATAGTCCAATTATACTTTTGTTAAATTAAAATTGTTCAGGGAGCCACAAATTGTGGCACGGGTGATAATGCAATAAACACTTATTTCTTAACATTCTTTGTCTTCCCCACTTAATAAATGAGCTCAAATTAAAAGTTGGATTTTGCCAGCTTTTTCAGTTTGAGGTTATGCTACTGCAATATAAAATTTTTTGGCACTTTTTAACGGGTTCCTAATAAGTGTGGAGGGTGCTGTAAGTGACAAGCAAATGTTAAACTTGACCAAATTAATAAAGGACCTAGCTCATATACTGAAAGACAATCTCAAAGTTATTTTTATTTAATGAGGCAGAAAAGCAATTTGAGGATCAGGAAAAGTAAAAATAAAATATGTCGACATATGCATTTTATTGCTTCATAAGTGATAAATATTTAAAATGTGGTGATGCACCAACATAATTACAAGTGACCAAACCAGTTTTTTCCTTGATTGGTGGTAACTGGTGACAACTTTTAAAGCTTATTAAATGCATGAAAACTAAAATCGCATCAACAAATAGCAATTTATTTCATGCACTTTGTTTTGAGTTGACAAAAGTCAGAGATAAAGGTTAGAGAGATGCTGCATAATGCATAAATACAAATATTCTTGTAATCTCATCTTTCTGGTTGATTCAAATCCTTTTCCTTCATCAAGCATATCTATTTTTATGGCCATTTAATTGCTGAACTAAAAATCAGTCTACAACACTTAGGGTGTTATAGTCCTGAAAAGAAATCTGGAATCTGCAGATCAAACCTCAAATCCTACCAGGCATTGCATCAAATCTCAGAAAGTAGAACTCAGATAGAGATCATATGCAGTCAAAGGTTTGAGTTCATGAAGCCACATGTTGGAGCTAAAATTACTGCCAGACTGCATATAAAATAAGACCTACATTTCACAAAGTAAACAATCAATAGTTAGCCCTAAAGTGACCCAATCTTCATTCATGTATCGTAGTTCTGTGAAACTCTGGTTGCTTTAAATACTTTGCCAGAGATCCTGCTGCTGGAAGAAGTAAAGTGGGAAAAGATGGGGGAGGCAGATGGGAAAAGAGATAAAACAACAGGAAAACCAGAGAGTGTAGGAGGAGTTGAACTGAAACGACCAGAGAGCATCTGGATAAGGTGCACATGTAGAAGATGGAGGGAGACGAGTCCAGAAACAAAGAAAGAGACAAGAAGGAACTGTGACTCAACATTGAAGAGGTCAAGGAGAAAGGACAAGAGGGTGTTGGAGGAAAGACCGAAATTAGAGATCTGAGAAAGAGACTGATAGGAAAAAGAAAGACGGCAATAGAAATGAGCAAAAGAGAGAGAAAATAGATGGGACGGGGGGTAGGAACTGAAGCAGCAGACGGAGCTGCAGGCTGGAGCATTTTATTTGAGCAGCGACAGCAGCCTCGCTTCCTGAGGAAAAGTGCTGCGGCTGCCAGCTCCAGAAAAAAAGCGAAGAAAAGAAAAAAAAAAAAAAAACACAACAGTGTCATGTTTTGCTGCATCACTGGATCGGCCTTGAGGACTCCGGGCCAACTTCTGACGAGGGGAGTCATATGCCGCTTGGCTGCGTCCCATTTTGTTGGGCTCAGCTCAGCTCCATGCATCCTTGTAATTACTTGTACAGTATTTGTGTGCAGGGGATTACTTGGAGCGTGGTACCACTCTAATTATAGAGGAAATAATAAAACTGCAGCAGTGTAAACAATGATTTGCAATTGTGCAAGAAGCAACAAATGGTTCTTTTGAGAAGAACGGAAATCAACCTAATTACTTTTCTTTATTCACAGATGTCGGAGGCGAGTTTACACCTTAAATAGATGAAAGATTTAGATTAAAGCTTAAATCCAAAAAGCTCCCAGGATTCTTCTCTTTAAAAGCCTAACACAATCAATTCAAGACCAGATTATGGACCCAAAACTCCACTGAAAGGGATACCAAAGTAACCCTAGCAGCTCTGCAGGGTGATAAGGTTCGCTGCAAGTTTACAGACAAAAAAGATCAGATTTTATCCTCATCAAGGGCAAAGGAAACTATTAGTCTAACCAGAAACTGGATCCATTCATTTATCCAACTGCAGGGAAGGAAGAAATCAACAACAATAGGGCACAGGAGGGTGTCAGTGAAGCCATAAAAGAACATGGAGATAAAAAAAGAAGGTAATGAGGAGATGTCTTGGGAAATGAAATGACAAATTAGGAGGATAGAAGGTAGATTGTAAGGAGACAAGTGAGCCAATAGGAGTGGTTTAAGACTTTTTAGTAGAACAAGGGCAAACTGGAGGGTATATCAGCTCCCAGCCAGGGACACAGTCTACATTTTGGCAAAGAACAGGCCCTACCAAAAAAAAAAAACAAAAGCCCACAAACTTTTTATGGCCACCAGCAGCTCTGAACTGAGACAGATCGGCATCTTGTGATTCACACTGAACAAAGACGGATTCAGCTTAATTCAATAAGATTTCAAAACTAATATTTCTGGCAGCTAACTGGAGCCACTCGGTGATGTGTGAAATTTGTAAAGATGACAAAAGACAATACAAGGCTTAACCATACAGGAAGATATAAAGGAAGTCCCAATAAAACTCATTATCTGTGTCTTCCTTTACTTTTACACACACCAAAGTCAAACTGCTTGCGCTCCAGCTCCTTGACTCTCTTTAACACTGACTTCCATCATATGCCTTTCAGAGTGAGTAATCTTTTATTCTTCTTTACTGAATAAACTAATATTCTGATGAAAAGCTAGCTAGGAGGGATTGAAAAGGACCATAGTTCAAATTGCTCTGCTTATTCTGTACACTCATGGCCAAAACACTTGGTTGGGACACTAACCTTTCAGTTTCAATTTTTTTGTGGTTCATATGAGAAGATTGTGCAGCATGAGATTTACTTTATAACAAAAAAAAAGAAAAGCCCTTTTTTCTTCCTTTTTGCTCGGTTAAAAAAAAAAGACCAACAACCTTTATTTTAGAATGGTCACATCATAAGCATCTATGAAGCTGCGAAAAAGTACAGCTGAAATAAAATCCCAATCTATTTACCAGATTGGTTGCTATAAAAGAGCCACTGTTTGAACACTGGATGGCATTTATTAGGAACCTAACCTGGGGGTTAAAGTTGTTATTAAAACCATTTGGAAAACCCCAAACAAATGGGTGAAAATAATGGTAAAAGTGATGCATGCTTTCAAAAATATTGAATAAATGCACCAATAGAGTTAGTCAGTTTATTGCCATAAGGCTTGCCAAATTTTGCCATACTATTTTCTTAATTTTCTATCACAGCACTTTAAAAAAAAATTAAAACTTGTGTCAGTCCTTTTCTAAATGAAAATGGTGATTGCTTGTGAATGATATATTCTTTGTCTGAGTGCAAATTCTCTTACAGTAAGTAAAAGTTTGGAGCAAATAAATGTATCACTACACTTCGAATGTTTACCTACAAAGAAAAATTTGCAGCCATCATTTCTCTGGATCTAAATGGCTTCACACAATAACAATAGGAACACACTAGTATGAATATTGATCTTAAAAAAGCTGTTCTCTAGGACATTAAGACATTTAAAATGGAAGGTCAAAGCTAGTCTTCTTTAGAGGATTACTGAAAAGTTTTCAGTTGCCACCATTTCAGAGCTTGGTCAACCATGGCAGCACAGCGAGGTGAACAATTCTCTGTACCTGCAAAAAGTCCTCAAAGGGAGTTTAATTTTTTCTGCCATAGTAATCATGAATGGAGAAAGGCGATAAGCCAGAAGGTCAGCATAGTGTTTTGTGGAGGGAGTCCCTTAAAGTTTTGAGACGATCTGCAGAAAAACGTTGTTCACTTCCAGTTTTAAGACAGTGATAAAAGCAGATCAGACCATAACGTTTTCTGAGACAGAAATAGTAATTATATATTCCAATGACTGGATAATTGGACCATGAAACGTTAAATCAAACAGGTATATGAAACTGTTAGATAAACTATGAGTAAACAAGAGACATATCAACATTTACATCCTATTTAATTTCAAGGCAGCGTTGCTCAGAAACTAAGAGTGTCCTGGTTTCCAAGTCCCCTTGACCCTCCTCTTTAGGCATACAGTCACGAAACACACAGACAAAACACCTACAAGTGTTGTGTGTGCATCCATGTTTTAATGCAAGTCTGTGTGGATGCTAAATGATTGATCAAAGGATGCCTTTGTGCAGGCACCTCGTGGTGCTAATGCATCATTAACACAGCTGGCAGTATGACCCAGCTCTTCTGACAGTGGCAGGCTATTTCCAGCGGCTTCCTCTTAAGCCTATAGAGATCCAAATCTCACTTGTGTTACATAAGAATTCTGAGAAATGCACGGAAAAGACGTCATGGTTGGATTTTACCTCAGTTTATTTTAGCTGGGTCTTTTGCACAAGAGAAAGGAGACCTGAGTTTTCACTGGTAACAACAGACTGAAGGAATTACTGCCTGGAAAAAAGTTACAGACAGAATATAGCACTCAATCCTGCAAAATAAACCACTCTGACAGGGTAGTAAGTACATCTGGCTGGTGGTAACAAAATATATCCTATTATAATTTTGACAAATCACTTGATGTTAAAAGATTGCACAAAATCTCAAGAAGTTGCACCATTTTTTTAGACCTGCCTTTAAAGCTTTGCACTATTTCACAACAATCTCAACATTTTTCTGTACATATATGGCAAGGCTGATCTTAGAATACTGCAAGGGACAAGCTTAAATTGTTAAAGTGCACGAAAACTGAAAGAAAAAGAGAAAAATATGCCCAGTGACTAAAGGTTTTAGGTAGCGTTTTTGCTTTTTTG